CAAACAAAAGTAATGTATGTATATATATATATATATATATATATAATTATACAGTTCAACTAACTGAAATCTGATGTTATTCTTATATGCAATAAATGAAACCACTAACCTGATAAAAGTAAAATTATAGTACAAAGTAGTTATTTGAAAATTAATTACGAAAAGCATAGGAGAACCATTTTTAACACAACTTTTTTTACCCTCCGTTTTGTAAAACTATAAATTAAATTTAACTTTTATATTAAGAAACTGTTGACTTATTATACTACACTTTTATAAGATCAAATTTATAACTTTTGGTGTAATTAATCAACAACTAATCATTCAAAAAATATTAATTTTATTTTCCAGATACTGCAAACAAACATAAACCATATTCTCAAAATAAACCTTGCATATAACAGCATTTAAGCGAGAAAAGTTACATACATGAGCTATGAAATTTGCTTGATTTATGATATATAATTGAAAAATAACATTAGAGCATTTAAAGATTAAAATCTAAAAACAGATATGGTAAGCACATTTCAGGCAATCTTAATGAACTATAGTGATGCTCCAAAAATTTAACGGATTCTGTCTTATGAATAACTTTTATCGGGACTTTTTTATCTTGAGTCCAGATCAAAGTCGTTCACCGAAACACTGTTAAGTGATTTAACTTGTTCCTTAGCTGTTTATCGTTTGTTACACTGTCGAGGTAAAGATAATTTTTGTTTCGTTATTGTTGTAAATGTTAAAGATACAAGTTTAATTTGGCATTTAGAAAGTAGATATAATCTGCTTGTAATGACATTCCAGAAATTTATATATTAGTAAATCAAGTTTGTAGTTTTAACTCACTCACCTGGTAAGACTACAAATTCTGGCTGTCAGGAAAAGGTTCATTGTTTTCTAGTTTGATCTCTACAACTGTTGAGAACTTTTAGTCCATAGAGACATACAGGGTGTTCGAAAAGTATGGAACCATAGACACTTTCACGAGTTTTACCGAATGCGTTCCACATGCTGTCCTTGTAATTCAAAATAAATTTGGAGACGGCATTTCCATTCTCTTTGAACGCTGCGGAAAAAAATCCTTTCATTGTCAAAAGCCCAATACTCATCGCGAATTCGTTGTTTCAGAGGTTCGGTGTCCCTGATATTCTCTTTGTACACACATGCCTTGATCAGCCCCCAGAAAAATAAATCCATGGGAGTCAAGTTCGTAGATCTTGGAGCCCATTCCTCGGGGTCTACGTTTGCCAAGACAATGTCTTGGGAAGGTGTCATTCCACCAATCTCGGACTTCCGAACTGTAAATCACCTATAGTTTCACACTTTTTGGACACCCTGTAGATCTTATATTTTGTAGATGAACCGATCCCTGAAGGAGGTCAGAAGAAGGAACCAAACCATACGTTCTGAAGAACGATCCCGACCAAACCATACGTTCTGAAGAACGATCCCGACGACGCGATTTGAGAAAATCCATCAGCCGAATACTGTTTGAAAAAGAACAACAACATCAGAAAAATTATCTGACATTGTTAAAGTAAGATTTATTATCAGAAACATTTTTCTTCCATATTCCTGTCTTAGATTTTTTTTCTCTGGAATCTGAGTAATTTGTTTTAACTTTAACATTGTTAGAGTAATATTTATTACCATGAACGATTTTTTATCTGAAAACGGAGTAATTTTCTTGACTTTGTCGTTGTTAAAATAAGGTTTATTACCAGGAACTTTTTTCTTCCATATTTTTTCACACCAATAACATTATTTTAGATTTTCTCTACTGAATCCTAGAATCTTACTCCATTTTATACACCCATGAATGTAAGGACTGACCTGAAATATTAACCGAATCTACAGATTTCTGTTGATGGCTTGATTTTTATTAATGGATACCCCATTCTGTGTCAGATGTTTTTAACAACAAATAATCGCATATTTCTTAAAAGTTTCAAAGGAGTTATCCTGTCGTTTATGTGGTGTTTTTTGTTGAACTCTTGTTATTTACATTGTATCGATTACCGTTATATTTTCACAATAAAAGTTATCTGCAATTGAAGTTTTACAAGTTAGTACAACTGTATCAAACAAGTATAGGTATGATATATATATATACCTCGTACCGAGTCGAAATAACTTCAATAACCATGAAAAAAAATAACACAGTTGCATCTAAATACAGTGTTTACGTGTAAATACTGATAGAAAACTGCTTTAATACATTCCATTTCCTTATAAAACCATTCTAGTTGTTTACATTCAATTCAAACAAAGTTTCTTTGTTTAGAGAAAACAGCATTAGTCATTAGTTTCTACCGGTTATTACATACAACATGTTACGTTGTTTCTGATATAAAGTATCGTCAATGAAATAAACACGTGAGAAGTGAAAATCAACGAAGGGCTAGGTATTGAACGGGAGATTTACCAGCTAGACACCCGTGTAGCTTCTTTTGTTTCACTGTAACATGTTTTATTGGCATTTTTTGTTGTTGTTGTTCTTTTTATAATTTTGAGGAAAACTTACACAAGGGCTGCTTGCGTATAGTCGTCCAAAATTTTAAAAGAGGGAAGGCAGCTAGTCAAGAGCACCTACCGCCAACTCTTTTGGTTACTCTTGTCTGACCGAATAATAGGATTTCTCCACCTCTCTCTTATACCACATCCACGCCTTCAAAGTGAGGAGTGCAATTTTTTTCAGCAACAGGACACGAACCCTGAACCCTCGGATTCACAGTACGCCACACTTAACACTTGTCCACGCCTGATTTGTTTTGGTAAGGTTTGGTAAGGAAAAATATAATGTGGTTTCTACAGAGTAGTAAATGTAGGGAATATATAACAACGTTCTTTGCTAGAGACTGGCATATGTATGATGTACAACTTCTAGAGTTTCATCAGTTGTCAATAAAACAGTGATTTATCTAAACAATGAGACAGAACACAATATTTTATGTAACATTAATAACGCAGGCCTGCGATGGTTTTATTGTCTTGAAATTTTTACATGTTCTAGAGTAATTACTGTACACTAAATTCGAAAATGATATCCATTTTTCTCCATCACGTACAGATTTTTCACAAAACGTCATAACGCAATACGTAAAAGAATGACCATAACACGTAGATTTCACACAAAAAAAATCAGGATAAATGAGGATGCATATTCGTTTGATATCAATGTTCTTCCCTTTTCTTCAGTTTGTTTGTATTTGTTTAACAAACATAATAATAAAAATTTTTTATCGTAGCAAACGAAACAATAATTTGATCTAAGTAAGAGTTTTTTTCCCGATTTGTAAAAAATCTTTAGGTGATAGAAAAAATTAATATTATTTTCGAAATCTGTGTAGCTGAATTATGGAAAATTTGCTACTGAAACCCAAACAACTTTCATGAAATTTAAATTCGCAGGCCCGTGTTATCAGTTTCATGCACGGAATTCTTACAATATTTGTTTGCTGAAAATATACATATAACACTTTATAACCTCCACCACCGAAGGTTGACGGAGGTTATGTTTTCACTCCTGTGTGTGTGTGTTTGTCAGCAAGATTTCTCGGAAAAGGGTGAATGGATTTGGACCAAAGTTGGTATACACTTTGACTATGACCCAACTTAGAAGTGAATAGTTTTTGAAAGATCAAGGTCACGAAAATAAAAAAATCCCTATCTGTTAACATGGGGACCAATTTTTCACACTATTGTTGCTCTATAACTCAGTCAAAAATGATCGGATTTTGAGGAAACTTGGCATGTCCATTGATAACGACGGACATACGGACACACTTTCGTATTTGATAAACGCTGCGTGGCGGAGGTATGCACTCTACTGAGCGCCCTCTGGTTTGTATCAGTTGCTGTGAGATATAACTGATATATTTTTCATAAACACTAGTTCTCACATACTTTTTCTTAAACAGTGAGACAGAAAATATTTTTTTTAGTAATACTAAATGTTTATATGATGTATGAAATCACTAACAATGTTTTTTAAGATGAAACACAACTTCTTAAGTAACAATCGTTGACAATATGAGTTTTTGGGATCATTAATAGTAGCTTCAGCAACACCGATTATCGATGGTATGTAGGGTGTTTTGTTTAACACAACGTTCTTAATAAAATTCCATTAAAAACGTTCTAATAACATTATTAGATCAGTTCGTTTGATCAGAAAATTTTACTATACATTCTGCTTATCACATTTTTAACATCAGTTTAGTTTCGCTTACTAATTTATACTTTTATTCAAAGACAAATATTTTTATTTAAGTTTAAAAATTACAGTGTCTAACCCAATATTTATTACTCAATTATATTTGTCATTTCATTTTTTTAACTAACACTAAACTTAAAATATCAATAAAAGTATCACACGAAAAAGTGGATTAAGGACAGATCATTGATTTATTTTAGCACAGGAACCATTGGCCATGTAATTCTGCAGACAGAAGTACAATGTTTACAATACAGAGGATTTATAATCGTTAATGGCTTTTATATGTAATATTTAAAACCCTGTTTTGTTACAAAGGACCTATCAATGATTAAACAAACACCAAATGATTTAACTTTTTTAAATTGAAGTTTGACATATTATCCTAGTGCTTTGAATTCGCTACCATATAAAGAAAAGCTGGAACTACTTATATTTTGTATTGAAACTAAAGCCGACTTGTGAAACTGTAATTGTCATATCCTTCATTTTGACTGCTGGCTTGACCGTTGTTATATGTTCCACAAGAGCTCTGGATATTTCCATTGTTAACTACAATGTTCCTCTTTGTCGAAACGGTTTCATCTTCGACAACTGTCTCTTGTAAAACCTTAAGTGATGGTTCATTCATCATCTGGCCACACTTAGGTTTTTCTGTGACCCTGCTCTGCCATCGAGAAAGTAGAAAACATTCTAGACTGGCAAATGGCGCTTCCACAAGTAGGTAGCACACGCAAGCCGCTCCAATGCTGACCACTAGGTGGCCAAAAAACTGGTACAACTGAACAAAAATATATATTTATGTATAAATTGATAGAAAACAAAACTTAAATCATCACTAGCATTCACATTTTCACAATATTCGGTTTGTTCAAACAAACGTATATGTATAAAGTCTCACTAGTTAAGTGCAAATACATTGTTGGAATGCTAACGCTTTTCATGTATCACTTTTCTTCGTAGCGTACAAAATGTTGAACGTCGACAAGGCCCTTTCATGTATTCTTTCGAATATTTTCACATGCTTGTGTTCGTCTTTATTGTCGTGTTTATCACTTTCTGTTAGTTATTGATATTAACACGATAAAGTGTTTATTGCTGTGTGTTGGTTGTTGCTATTAGCATGTTAGGGTGTTTATCACTGTGTCGGTTTCTACTATTAGCATGTTAAGGTGTTTATCACTGTGTTGGTTTTTACTATTAGCATCTTAAGGTCTTTATCACGGTGTGTTAGTTTTTAGTATTAGGATAATAGGGATGTGTATCACTAGCTGACAAATTCTGATATTCAACAATAATAATAATTTGTAGCATATAAAAAGCTATGAATTGCTATTTTTACACACACTGTAATATTTAACTATTATATAAGTATTACAAACCAAGTTCTGAGAGAAATTATAATTTACCTTCTTTCATTCTCATAGTCACTAAAACAAGAAATATACCTTTAAAATATCTCTAAAACAAAATAAAAACTATTCCCTGTTGCTCGATTTCGTACTTTAAATTGTTATAAAAAAAATTCCGAATTCTAAAGTGATTGTGTTTTAAAACTGTTTACCCTAGGGTAACAAACTTTCACCCGAGTTACATTAAGAATTGGAAGGTTTATTCAGGAAAGTTTCGGTACAATTCAGGGTGATTCAAAACCATATTATACTGTATACCTGAATTTCATTTCCTGTAACCTACCGTTGCTTTTATTTGGTGATTTGAATAAATCCATGCTATTGTGCAGAGTATTGCGAAGGTCAATGAGCACTGTACAAAACATATGACGCTTACAGTAGGTACATTTAAGGAGAGGCTTTATATGCTGACGGAATGCACATTGTGACTGTTTTTGAAGAACTCTGTACGACGTTAGCTTTCCTTTAATAAAACGTACTATTTTCAATGTACTTATGGTGGCATTTTGTTCCCTTAAGAGAAACAGTTTTTAAGATACCACCATTTTAAAAATTCATTTTTCTTTATAATCACTGTGTACAATAACTGTTTTTTTATTTCAAAGAAACGTTCTAGGAATCACAACCTTTTTTTAAATTTCTTAACTGCTGATAAAGGTACAAACCAGGTCATAGTGGTGGAAAACCACCCGTTCTCTGAAGGTCCACACTCGCAACCAGATCACCAACAGGTGAACCACATAAAGAGAGTAGCTGAGGCGACTGATTGGTACAAACCCTTTCCACGAGAGTATCATCTTTACTGGATCTGGAACAGCATAAGTTGGCTATAAGTTCAGGTTTTCGATAAATACTCAAATAATTTAGTAAAAACCTTACAATGGTACTGTCTATTGTGTACTGAAACTTGTAAACATAATACATAAGTTATTATTATTTTTTAAATCAACAATGATACATTGGAAACTTAGACGGGCATACCAGATACAGATGTGTAAATTTAGTATTTTGTTTCGGATATATGCGCAGTATTACACCAGGGTTACCTGCGTTAGCCGTTCCTAATTTTTGGCTGATAGATTAAAGGGAAATTCACTACTCAACAGCAATCAATGCCAACTTTTAGACTACTCTAATTGAATAGTGGGATATGACTGTCACTAATTAAGTGTAGAACATAGTTAACACTAACGTAGATTATCGCTATCAGTATTTATCAGAAACACATTGTTCATACTTTTTTGTCTTTGAACTTCATAATCAGAGTAAATTTATTCAAATTTTGCAACTGAAGTTACTTCAAACTGTCATTCTCTATGGATACGCTCGATTTGCATGTCTAGGGTATGTTCTGGATGGCTCGGCATGGCCAGGTGGTTAGGGCGCTCGACTCGCAATCTGAGGGTCGCGGGTTCGAATCCCCGTCCCGCCAAACATACTCGCCCTTTCAGCCGTGGGGGCGTTATAAAGTGACGGTCAATCTCACTATTCGTTGGTAAAAGAGTAGCCCAAGAGTTGGCGGTGGTGATGCCTAGCTGCCTTCCCTCTAGTCTTACACTGCTAAATTAGGGACGGCTAGCGCAGATAGCCCTCGTGTAGCTTTGCGCGAAATTCAAAAACAAACAAACATGTTCTGTATATTCTTTCCAGCGGAAGAATCGAGTGAACAGGAACAGAAAGCTAGAGATTCCAATATAGCGAAGAATGTAAGGTTGATGATGATGCTGAACAAAGTGATGATGAAAAAGTGTAAAGTTTACTTCCAGGAATAACCCTTGTTTTGTAAGTGACTAGAATAATTATCATTCCATCAATGCTGTAGTAGAAAAAAAAGAGGAAAGGTGTTGTTTACGAAATATATTTAGTAGTTTGGCATAATATTTTAAGCATGCGCTGCGTTGCTACACTTCATCTGTCATCTTGATGTCCTCACTCTTTCCCTTATAACACCACCTTGTCGAGAACAATCGGTAAAAGTCCGGAACACTGTTCGGAGTCTCTTTACTTTTGTGCAGAAAGTTTAGTATGTTTATCACGACGAATCAAGTGTGCTCTAAGGTTTCTGATATTAAGTATTACTTTCTAAAAGAATAGCTCGATTCTTTTTTCTTGTTGCAGTAGGATGCGAACCATAACTCACAATACGGTACACTAACTACTAGGCCGCACCAAGCACAACTCTAGAAACAGAACTGGATAAATAAGTGTCACATATGATTATTCAAATAAGTTCAAGTCATCCAACTTAAGGGACGAACGCTAAAGTAGTAAAAACAAAATGCGAGTGATAATGTCGTTTAATTTCTGAATAGTTTTCTTTCTATTCTTTTTTTTTTTTTGCCTTTTGTTGCTTTGTTAGCTACCTTGTTTGTTATTATTCACAAAGCTACAGAATGGGCTATCTGTGCTTTCCCCACTGCGGCTATCGAAACCCGAATATTAGTGTTGTAAGCTGTGAGACTTACCACTTAACCAACGGGAACGTTTTGTTTTCATTCAGTAAGAAATCACTATAACAGGTCAGTATAGAACGGCATAGAAGCAGAGCATGTTATAATTACACTTTAAAAGTTAATATGAGATAACTATCTCTTATTAGACTTTACGGAGAATGTCAACAAAACGGCAAAGGTATTCTATGATATTCAATGTTTTCTTTGCAATTCTACGTATTTAGAATAAAACAATATACCAAAATGTTTCTTTGGTTATTATAAGATGTTTGCTACTCAGATTGCAGTACAAAATTAATCTAATCGTCAACATTTTGTCCTTACATTATAAACTCTGTAATTACAACTTCAAATATGCCCCCACGTATTTCAACTCCTATGTATATATGGTTTTATATGGCAGTAGGAAACAACACTTAACATCAGTGCCCATTTAATTTGTGGAGTAATTTCAGTTGCAAGTAAGCTCGAACGTTGAAATAAAATATATCCTCAATATGGATTTTACAAAGTACGAACATTGTGCACCTGTAAGTTAGTGGTCACGATAATTTTTGACGTTGTCTGTTCGGAATTTTCTAGTGTTCTTCACTTAATTAATAAGTATAGCTGCCATCTAGTAGTCAGTGGTGGTATAAGAAGTTTGGCTTACATTAATGTTTTAACAACTGTGCCACTGGGGGTTACTTTAGCAGGAAATGACAGTTAGTTAATACCTACTTGTGAAAATGATTTAATGTGAATAAACTATATAAAGTTTTTCAGATTTTAGTCCTAGGAATTAAAATGATTACTCTAATAAAGTTTCATAACTTACTTGCTTGATCAACTACGGACATAAAACTTGTCCATCCAAGTCCAGTTGCCCAAATAATTCTATGGATCGAAGCATACGCAACTGAAACTGAGACACCAGGGACAGTTCCGTTATTCCAAGGGTACGTTAGCAATAGCACCGCCAGGTTAAAGCTAACACTAAGCATCCACCCAATCAACTTGGCAAACTAATTGCAAGTAAAAAACATTATATGAGTAATTTTTCCCAACAGAAACAAATGCTTTTAGCGCTTTGGCTACATTTAAACCAATTTAAGTTCAATTTTTAGTACATCATTTCGATCAACGTTTCAGGTTATGCTATGCCTGGAATTAATATAAAACAAAAACCAGCACCAACGTAAAAAGAAAAATACTTGAGTTCATCGAATTTCACTGACGTAGGTTTTATCGCATGATATTATTCACAAAGTATTGTAGAAATAATTGTCCACTTAAATAACTTGTATAATGTTTTTTAGCTGCTCACGAAACTCGATTAAGAAGTTAAAATAATGTAATATTTTTTAAATAAGCATCAAAAATCAAAAGTGTGTTTGTTTATTGTTCTTCAGTTTTATGACAGAAAACTTCTACAACTCGGATAAATCACAGCGTAAGTGGCTTGCTAAAAACAACTTGCGTAGTTGCTGGCCTGCGCTATAGCTTCATGTATAGTGTTCAGTAAAATGACGCTCTGCACATAACCACCCCTCATCTCCGAATGTGTACCGGCTTCAGAAGGGTGTACAGATGTGGTAAGACCAGTGATGGATAGGTTAATGGAACATGTCCGAGATGCAGAAAAACAGAAACGACCAATAAGCATTTGTCTTAGGTTTCGAAATACTCAGGTGAAACTATCCCTTTACCGGCTTACAATGTAAAAACAATTATGTTGATAAAACACATAGCTGAAAGTTTTATAATCAGAAAGAAAATCCTCATATTAAACAATAGATTCACGTGGCTGCGTACTACATAATTTCATAACTAATTCTTGAATTCGGCAAGACTGACAGCTTTCTTGATTGTTTTCTCATTTTCAAGGGTTTTATAAAGATGTACTCCTACATCATATAGGTTGTGATGCTAATAATTATTATTATTTTTACAATGACCATCGTGTAAATATTATCTGTATTTATTTATTCATGAAACTATAGTGATTAATTGTTGGAAAGAAGTTTGTAGACTTGTTTCAATCAGTGACATGCTTGTTACATGTTCATTGTTTAAATCTGGGTTCTCTCCGAACATGCTTGTTACTTGTTCATTGCTTAAATCTGGGTTCTCTCCGAACATGCTTGTTACATGTTCATTGTTTAAATCTGGGTTCTCTCCGAACATGCTTGTTACTTGTTCATTGCTTAAATCTGGGTCCTCTCCGAACATGCTTGTACATGTTCATTGCTTAAATCTGGGTTCTCTCCGAACATGCTTGTTACATATTCATTGTTTAAATCTGGGTTCTCTCCGAACATGCTTGTTACATATTCATTGTTTAAATCTGGGTTCTCTCCGAACATGCTTGTTACTTGTTTATTGCTTAAACATTGGTTCTCTCCGAACAATGGAACACTATGAGTAAAAATAGTTGTGTACGTTTCATGCATATCATTTGATAGTTTAAGGAAAACATTTTTAATGAAGTGCAAGTAGTTACAAAGTTTGCCCCCTAGTCCTCTCATAGATGTCTTCAAGCTTTGAATATATTATACTTAGAAACACTGAACATAGTGTTTTATTGGATCAAGTTGAAGGGATTAGTTTGAATTTCCATTTCTTCATAAATGTTTTTTTGTTTTTTTTTTGCTTACATCCTGTCATTTTATAAGTTGCAGCTGTAAATATCTTTTGTGAAAATTGATAGAGTTAAGGATTGGTGGTCATAGTTCCAATAAGAAATTACATTTGATCAGTATAACGGATTTTACATTTCATGATAATCATGTTTTAAAACTTTTGATAATGTCACAAGCATTTTTCGAATAGTTTGAGTAACAATTTGAAATGACGAATAGTAAAGTTTAACGAGTTTTAGGTGGAGCCTATTAAACACTTTAGCAGTAACTGATTTTCTATCCAATGTGAACATAAGAACTAGGTTGATCTAACTTACCCTGGGAAGAACTACATTCCCGTGATTTACTAACATGTAACCAACAATAACACCCACTGCATATGGTCCAAGATGTGTGTACGGTCTCAAATAGATGTATGTTGCGATTTTTTTAGAAAACCTATAAGAAAAAAGAGAATCACAAAATCAACTCTTAATGTGTGAAATAACACCAGTTTCAGTGATTGCATTGAGTTGGAATTATTTGATGAGGTTAAAAATAAAATATTAAATTAAAAAGTAGCAGATTATTAAAGTTTACTGGGGTAATATAGAAGCTTGGTCGGCCTGAATTTTTAAGCAAAATCACACTAACATCAAACAGGTTCGGCTAGTATAGAGTGCTTGGAGATACTTTTTCCACGAACATCTAGAAGCGACCTTACAGGTTCCTTGCTGTGACCTGATGAAAGTAGTCTTACTACATTCACTATAGGAATTAAAATAACCAGTTTTTAAAATAGTTTTACTTATGATAACTTCTGCCAAGATCAGCATCATAATATAATTTCCAATGAGATATAATTTAATTTGCTTTCTGAGAAATTGTTTTCTATGGATCTTCATCAGGAACTAATGAAGCAGTTCATGCAAGACCTTCACAAGGATATGAATTATGTCTTATTTCTATAACCTTCTTCAGGATATAAATACATACTTCTCAAGATTTCACCAAGACGTAATAGATTTACTGTTCTGAGTGCCTTCCGCAGGATAAAAGTTTGTTCTTCCTAGGACACTCATTAGGATGTAATGGATGTGTTTTCTATAAGACATCTTCAATAACTAATGAAGGTGTTTATCTATGTACCTTCGCTAATAAATAAATGATTTATTTTTCTTTAAGCCTTCGCCTTGATGTCAGATATACACATGTTTTTCCCCAGGTCTTCATCAGAGTGTAATAGATGTGTTCTTTCGAGGGTTTCAGTAGAATATACATGCGCTCATTTTTCACCTTAATGTCATGGAAGTGTTCGTCTAAGGATTTTCAGCAGAATTATAAAATGAAAGTGTTTTTTTTAAGAAACAAAACCTAGGTACTTCCAGCAACATATACATATGCTCTTCCTCACCAAAGACCTTCACAAGAAATTAAGTCTGTTTTTCCAAGGAACTTCTCAAGAAAAAAAATAGACTCAGTTCACATGTAATAATGCTCAAATCTAGAGTTATGTAAAGCGCCAAGGATTATTTTATTTGAATGAAGACAGTTATGATTGTGACGTTACTATTTTAACACAATCCCGAGTCTTTATAGTATATTTGTTTCACTAAATAGAATTAAAATAAAAGAAAACATACCAAATTTATACTTACTCTTGATCAGGTGACAACAAAACTATGGTGGGATAAAAGTCCTCAAGATAAGTTATAATTCCAACAGCTGTTGCCGATCCTACAATTATTATGCATGTTAACAGCAGTCCCATCTTTGGCCACCTTTAAATGATAAATAATATGAAGCTTAGCATTTCTTTGCACATGAGAAATTGAACACACACTTATTAGCGACATTATAATACAAGATATTGTTCTAGTGTACCATGTACGTTTGATGTTTTGCATGTTAAGGAGTGTAGTTCTTACATTTTGTAAGGGACGATCACGATACTGTATACTAACATAGATATAAAAATCATTACAGTAATCCAATAGGGATATAAAATGTTTCCACTAAGACTTTTTATACTGTTACTCCGTCTGTTGAGTTATCAAGTCTTACTGAGTGAAACGAACGAGCTGACAGAGCATGATCTATTTATAGGTAAGAATATAATAATACATCGCAAGAAGCTTGAAAATAATTTAAATTACACCATTCTCTACTGACTTACACTAGGCTGTCTCTTTAGCTACGATTTATTTATTGTATTCCGTTACAGATAATTTCTTTTGCTCCATACCAGAGCTCATAAATATTGGCTGAGTTGCATCTTACAAATCTTAGTTTGAAACGCTATTTATATCAGCCTTTTTATATCAACCTTATTCCTTAGAAATGGGTCATGTTTTACTACCTTAGAAGTTCCATAACATTAAAAACTGCAACCCGTTTTCGAAAGCAAAAATCTGCATTAATTTTACAATAGTAAGAACCTGTAATACTATTACAATAATAAGACCTTGCAATACTTTCCACACCAGTAAGATCTTACAACGCTTTCATAACCTGTAATATGTTATAAGAAAAATTTAAAGTAGTGAAAATTACAATATTTTCACCATCAGTAACAGGCCTTAATGTGTTTACGAAATTAATAATCTTCAATAATTTGGTAACAAGAATACTTTACAGTAAGATTACACCAGGAAGAAACTACTAGAGAAATTGAGCAGTTATATAAAAATTACTTTGGAGCTTCGCCACATCACCACATCTGGCCATGATTTATCTAAAAAATGTGCGTCTTGACAATAGCCCTATAGCATGGTTTCTATTGCAAAAGTTTTAAAGGCACAACATTACACTCTGTGTGTTTCCATAAGTCACATACTGTGCGAAGACGATGATTTTTCCAGAGTCCATTTCATCAATCTGAATGCCCATAGGTGCTGCATATGGCAAATTGATTGGTATATCTTTCTATAGAATTGCATGCATATCCGTTTCATTATCCAGCTGCTCGAAGTAAGTAATGGTTGAACGGATAAGCCGTGGAAGAAACTTGTGTACACGTGAATTATGTCAATTTTCCATACGGAGCTCGTTCTTGATTATGTTGTGTGAAACATGTAGATGACTTTTGCCATCGAACTTTCTATTCATGGAGTCTCACCTCTTTCAAGATGTCGCACTTTGCTCACCACGACTTGAGTACGATTTGTTATATGTCTCTTTCTGGATGGTCATGGTGTCCCAAGTTGATCCACATTCCTTTGTTTTTCAATGCCATTAAGTACGAAAGATATTTCCATCTTGGAAATTCTATATATTTATGATCTGAGTGTATGAGGATTTTGCATCAGAAAGGGCTGTTGCATACTTCTCCAAAGCAATCATAATCCCAAACAACTTAAGTCAACAGCAAGCATTGCAATCACACTCCAAACCAATCTGGAGAAAAGCCATCGTCCACAAATTGAAGCACATGGCTTAAGAATAAGACTCTCTAACCCAAAAAGTCATTGTGAGCCGTTAACACGATAATAAACAAAGACATACAGTTGAAAAAGGCTCATAGGCTATCATTCATACGTCCAAGGCAGATGCTGATTTCACAAGAAAGACGGCTGAAGCAACTGAAATAATAGCAATCACATTTGACCACCTTTCCATCAAGTTTCCCAATTTATCTGAAATTGACTTTTTGTGTATTAATTCTGCTTAAAGGTGGTCTTGAAATTCAAAGATCCCGTCTATCGGAAGATCAGAAGAAAATCTGTCAGGATGTGAAATCAAAAATTGGTTTTTTCTCCTAAACATAATTTTGTCAAAATGGAAACTGTAGCATCGCATAATAATACGAAATCAATTAGATTAATCAGAACCTACAATGGAGGAAGTAATTTCAAGGGTAGCACGAAACAAGGAATATCGTTCTTATAAGAGTACAATTTGCCTTCAGTCCATTTTCAATAATCTCTTCCTCTCTCTATGTACCATATCCAAACAGGATGTTGGTGACCATTGTCTTCCACAAATTTCTTCTCCTTGAGGCAGAAATAATTTCTAATGTCGATACATCCACCCATTTATGTAGACTCTAGACATAAGTCAACCTCTGTCTTCTATGGTCTCCTTCTTTTAATCTTTCCAGTTACGACCAGACTTTCAATTTATTCTTTCCTCATAATGTTTTCAAGAAACTACAACTATCTCTTTCTGATGTTAATCAGCAGCTTCCTCCTGCAACTTATTTTTGACAAAATATTTTCATTTGAGGTATGACTTGTCCAACATTACCTTCAAGATGTGCCTTAAGAACCATAACTCAATTTCTTCAATTCTCTTTTCCATACTTGGCAGTATTGTCCAACATTCTGATGCACACGCGAGAATTGCTATAACTTAGCAATCCAAATCTCTTAACTCCATTGTCATAGAAATTTTACTATTTATCAGTATCTTTTTCATTTTCAGAAAGGCGTCTTTTGCCATTTCTATTCTCCGTTTTATTTCATGATCACATTTACCATCTGGCCCCCCATTGGCATAGCGGTATGTCTGTGGACTTACAATGCTAGAAACAGGGTGTCGATACTCATGGTGGGCAGAGCACAGATAATCCATTGTGTAGCTTTATGCTTAACTTCAAACACACGAACAAAATTTACCATCTGATATTGTACAGCTTTCCATGTAGTTGTATCTATTGACCTGTTTTATTAGTTCCTTATCTATTTTGACAATATATACAGGAATGACCTTCTTTCCAATTACCATGTATTCTGTTTTCCTACAGTTGATACTTAAACTCTTCTTCTCACTTTGACTAAAAACATTATCTAAAATGTTTTGCAACTTCTCTTCTGAAAAACTGTGTAATCAGCATAACACAAGTTGTTCAAATTCTGTCTCCCAATGATCAGCTCTGGTAAATCCTCAATCTCCCTCGGGATTTTCTCACTGTACAAATTAAAAACGTCAGGTTAAAAGACACACTTAATTTGGATGAAATCGCTTAATTCATTTTCTATCTTCACTGTTGCAGTTTGGTACAAATAGAGGTTTCTAAAAATTCTCAAGTCTTTACTATCAATATCCAGTTCTTCCAGCATTTTCATAAACTCCACATGTTTGACTCTTTCACAAGCTTTGGTATAAACAATAAAACATTGCCTTTTCCGAAAGCATTTGAACCATGAAGGTAGCATTTCTTATACCACGATCTTCATTAGTACCACATATAAATTTTGCAATCTCTAGTCTTATTCTACTTGTATCTCTCCTCATCACCTTCTTTAATAGGCTCTTTGTCACATGGCTCATTAAACTTATGATTTGATGGTGTTCACATTCAATGGCTACAGGTTTTTTTAGAGAATACAATAAACTTTTAATGTTAACTTTTCTATACCAAATTCTTCCAAATACTATATTTGTTTTAATGCAATTTCATCTGGTTCTATAGTCTTATTGCTGTTCATTCTGTTGATAACTCTTCATACTTTTGACTTAAGAATTTTCAATCCTTCCATGTTCTTCTTAATAGATGGCCTTTTTTCACGATTATTATGAAATAAATCTTCAATATACTCTGTCCATCTTTTCAATACTTATTATTGTTCTATAATTACATCACCATTCTTAGCCTTTATACATCCACTAGCAGTGCATCCTTTTTTACCTGTGGTGTCTTTGATATTCCTATACATTCATATAACATCTTTATCCTTTTGTTTTTCTATTTCTTTAAATTTTTCATTAACCCATTTTTCCCTTTTCTGCATTGCTCATTGATCGAATTCTTTTTGTCAATATTTTTTTTATACTCTTCAATACTACGGATTTTCATCTTCCTTCTATCTTCTATGACCTCAAGAATTTCCTCCATCATCCATTTCTGTTCCTTTTGCCTTAAATTTAATAGAATAACCTCCTTCGTGCTTCTTTAAGAATTTCCGATTTTGACATATTTCCTTCATCTTCAAGTTCTTGAAAACGATTTTTAACTGCAACTGTATACATTTCTTTAATCAGATCTTTTCCCACTAGAATTGTACAACCAAGCTTCTTTGTCTCTTTTGGCTTCTTAAGTTTCCTCAGTCTTATGTTGATAGTACATACTACAGGGACATGGTCCTTCACACAGTAAGCCCCTGGATAAGACTTCGATTGTTGTACTGCATTCCCGAATCTTCTATTGATGGTGATGTAATGAATTTGGTTTCTAAATTTATCTTTTCCAGGTATATCTTCTTTCCGGTTGTTGCTCAAACCATGTGTTCGTAATGGCCTGATCACTTGCAACACATCAATCAATCCATTTCTCTCCTGTTTCATTTTTCTATCCAAGTCTATGCAGTCCAATAATATTATCCACTCACTTACAAACAACTTTTGCATTTACATCTTCCACCATTATGACCACTTCTTGAGGTTTGCATTGCTTTTTCGCTTTATCAAGGTCTTCATAGAAACTATCAATGTCCTCTTCCCCATTTTCAACTGTCGGTGCATAGACTTGTATTATTACAACATTGAAGGGTTTAGCCAATATTTTCATAAGCATCACTCTATAAGATATTGTACAAAATCCATGCAGGATTCACCTGTCACACACAGATTATGCTTGGCAAAATACTGCAGCAGGTTGCCATTTCTTACTGCAGGTTTCAGTGCTCAACTAACTTGAACAAGTCTCTTCTATCGTTGTCCCAGTTGCACCAGGCATCCGCAAAACGAGATTATCCACCGTCCTGCACCCCCAACGACTTCAACTGTAATCCTGGTCAAGGAGGCTAATAGGTGCTATGCCCTGCTTAAGGGCAACCCAGAGAGTACAGCAGCTAGAGGTTATTTGTCTCACTGTTACTCTGATAGTTGTATGTCCTACTGCTGGATGCAGTTTAACGTCATACACAAAACTATTCAATAATATCATGCAAAATAATATTTCACTGAAAAATTTAACGCTTTAAAACAGCAAGAAATTAACAATATTTTTTACACACAAATATCACACAATGTTTTTAAAACAACAGAACTTTTTTAGTTTTAACTTGTACTAATAAAAAACAAAACTGATCAACACACTACTTACTTGTATAAAAGCCATGCTACCACTAACATTGGTATGAACAGTTGCATATCAACACTGAGGTACCATAAATGTGGTAAACACTAAGAAAAAAGTAAATGTTGTAATAATTAGAAATGCATTATGGGTTTGCTAAACACCAGAGAAGAAAGTAGATAACTGCATCTCAACTGTTACAGATACTAGAGAAGAATGAAACTATATACGTAATCATGGAAATAGCTATAGAATAAAAGTGGTAAGTGCAATCAACTTAATAAACATGGTAAATACAAAAATGTTAAAATAAATGCACCATAAATGTTGTAGATAAATAAATATCGACAATAAATAAATGTACAACAGGTGTGCTAACCACTAGAGATTAAACAAATGTACAACAGGTGTGCTAACCGCTAAAGATTAAACAAATGTACAACAGGTGTGCTAACCACTAGAGATTAAACAAATGTACAACAGGTGTGCTAACCACTAGAGATTAAACAAATGTACAACAGGTGTGCTAACCACTAGAGATTAAACAAATGTACAACAGGTGTGCTAACCACTAGAGATTAAACAAATGTACAACAGGTGTACTAACCACTAGAGATTAAAGAAATTTATTGGTTACGTAAATGCTACGCACATTTTGTTTACACGCCTCTAATTTTAAATCCGAAACAAGCAAACTAAAATAAACGTGAAAAAAAACAACATCTGAAGTTCAGTAATTCTTATCACAAATTTTAGGACAATTTTCTTTGGTTGTTTAACAAATTGTTTCATGATATCGCGTGAAACTACAGAAGAGTTGTATGTGCATCACTATTTCTAACTTTTATGTGATAATCTAAAAGGAAGTTAGCAAGTAAACAATACTAACCGCCAAATCTTGGGCTATTCCTAGTTAATGGAATAGTGAAATCTGATCGTCATGTTTTTGGCACAACTACGGCCCTAAATTGAGGAGCGCATTTTTGGAGAAACAAGTGCGAACCCATGAATCGTAAGACTCACAGTCCAGGCACGCTAACAACTGAGCCACGCCTGATCTTATGTGACCATTGTCTATCTAAATGTTCGTCTGAACTGATAATATCTTACTAAAGATTTGTGTCAAACGACTGACAATGAATGTACTATATTATTTCTGTGATCTACCACACGTTTATACAAAAGTATTGTATTCTTGTAAATTAGTTTACTTTCTTAATCGACTGCCAAGTGCGAGCGAGGGACGTTCAACTAAAGAGAAGGAAGAAAACAAAACTGCAGGCAGAATGACTTGAATAAAATTCAAATTGGCTGTGAACATTAGTCGATGTTATCTTCTAAATAGTTGTATAATCATATCATCAGTGGATTCCTGAAAAATGACGCAATAGTATGGAAGTGCGGGCAGTTAGGTGTTTTATGATTACCGAGAAGATAAAATCTCTACTAAAGCAGGTTACTGTAAAATGTTACAGAATCATATGAAACCAACTGTTCAAACTTACTTCAGCAGGACAAAGTTCACTCTCAAATTGCTCAAGTAACAGTATCCAAGATTCAGAACTTGGGCTCCTACCCAATATTCAGCTTATACTTGGCCATACATTACTTCTATTTGTTTGGTCCCATGAAAGAAGTATAATGAGGCAAATGTTTGAAAATAAGCAAAGACGTACAGGATATAATGAGGGAGTGGTCAAAAGATTTTCTATGCGGCAGGAATACAGAAACATAATATAACTGTGGCCAATGTGCCAATAAGTACAAGAAGACTAAATGGAGAGGGGATATTAATTACATTTCCATTCGGTAATTCGCTTTTAGTAATTTCATCTTTCCCCATTTGTATTTGAACGCCCCTTGTATTAAGCTGGAAGTCAGAACATATAAGGCTTCTAATAGTCAGGGAATCCTCAGAAGACAGTATTGCTTGCAGAAGATAAATATATAAGTACAAGTTAATTGAATATTAAGCATGGTCCAAGATGGTGATATTTGTTTCAATTTAAAGATTTGCAGTATGTAATAACCTGGAAAGTCAACGTTAACTTACCATATCTTTGTAGTCTGTCCAGTTGATTACATAAACCAAGATTCTCCACCAATTCAATTGACAATTTGTAACTTCTTTCATTATCTTTTCCTTCCAGAAGGGCCCAGAAGCAGCCAAAGGTTCGAGGAATAAAATACCCAAAACAAACAAAATTGTGGGTGTCAGCCTTTAGAAAAAATACAGGACAAATAAATATACATATAGTGGTAAAAGAATCTTCAATAATTTTTACATCGTTTACTCTTTATTGCTATGTACACAACAAACACGTAGGTAGCATGCACTTTTTTTAGCGTAAGAAATTAGAAATCCTCTGAGCACAATAAATGTTGAGTGATAAGCAACCACATTTTTATTGTTTTAGCATTAAACTACTAGCGGCACTTAGAACATTGTTGATAAACTGCGGCCATAAACCAAACTCTCCTTTATTCAGAGTCTCTGTTCAGCATTGGCCCTAGCCATGATTTTAAACAAATTTACTTAGGGCATGTACAAGCATATTAGACTCAACTGGTAATCTTAGGTTAGCATGTTCTTTCACACGTGTCAACAACTTTATATTAGTGGAACCAATGTAACCCTGCTGACAGCAGGGACAATTAAATTTATGGACAACTAAATAAGATTGTAAAGTTAGGATTTGAATTTAAAGAAAGAACTAAGGTGACAATTAGGTTTGAAAATACTCCCCAGCTGTATACCCTTCGGATAACATTTTTCAGCTGATTCTTAATGATCAAATAGTATTTACAAATATAGAGTAGACTAATAACCAAAGATTTCTAGATATATCAATAGTACAATGTGTTACAACGCTATGCTTATTTAGATAACAGCGAAATATTCTATGAAAAAAGTTAACTTGGAAAATCATTTTTACACACAAAAATTTTTTGATATTTATAAATTCTTTATATAAACCATCATAAGTGCTAGATGCCTTATAAGCACGGTGAAAAGTATCTAATAAAAAACACCTTAGGTGTGAAAAAAAGGTGCGACCAAAAAAAAAATGATTGAGTTTGTGATTTGAGGAATGAAATCAAAATTGGTGGCCAAACTGGTAGCTACACTTAAAGAATTTGTTGTTCAACTTGGGGCATGATGGTGGGTAAAACAAAATATGCGGCCTGGCTAACTAATGAATGAATATTTGCTGTAAAATCCTCATCAATGCTATAAGTGTAGCTATCAGTTTGGCCGCCAATTTTGATTTCATTCCTTTAAGTAACACCCTCAATTGTTTTTTGGCCATACCTTTTTTCACACCTAAAGTGTTTTTGGTTAGATAGCATGACTTTTTGTCAATACAAACCAACAAACCACAGCAAGTAAGAAAGTGACACTCGATAGTAACCCACATTAACTTTATGATCGCAATCCTATTATTCAGAGCAGACCTTTACTTTACAGAACAACCAGACTCTTTAAAGTATATGGTGGTTGTTTTTCCATTCTAAATAGTGTTAATAGCTTCCTTTATAGCAACGCCATGGAATTTAGATTAACAGTTTCTTGTCATCACCCCCATGCAATCGGTACAGCTGTATCAAGCATCATTATTTATGCTAATTGTTTGAGCTAATATCACGCGACGCTAAACGCTCTTTAATTAGAATAATTTCATAAAATTTAGTAAATTTGTACGGAAAGGTTGGCAATGAATAATTAATAATAACCGTCCACTCATATGATTCTTTTGAAAACTTGATCTAGAAACTACTAATCTAGTTTGCTTGGCCTAAGCAATACTTATTTATCTGCACGTTCTTTAACCTTATAGTTTTGCTGCTATGAATCAGCTGTCTTTAATCAGAATGACAAAAACTAAAAAAGGTCCACTTTTACTCTTAGGTGAAGTTGTAGTAAAAATCTTAAACCGATAGCTCTCGTGACTTTTTGCAAAACGTTTCGTCAATTTTAAGCGGTTTTTGTTAAATAACTTTGCACATGTGGTTTATATTTACACCAAATGAGACTCCTAATTATAGGTTAGAAAGATCTATCAGTGTATGAAATTTGAAAAAAAAATCTATAAAAGTTAAGTATGTTTTTTTATCAAATAAATTTTCCGTACTTTTGGTGTGAAGAAAAAAAATAGGAAGAAACTCAATCAAAATTAGAGGTGTTATATCTCAAATATTCTCAATAGATTGCCTTGAAATTTGGTATGTGAAGTAAGAGTTAATTAGTGCATATTCACTGAAAATATGTGATAGTTTGGATTATCACAGTTCGAGATACAGAAGGTGTAAAATCGCTAAACTATCACTCCTGTTAATAGCACACAATGTGTCCTGCAGCAGGTTGTTTTGGCCGCACGACATACTACCGTGTGTCTTGATTTTAACTACATTCTCTTTAAAAATAGTAGGAATGAAACTTGTAAAGTTAAAATATAATTCTGTAAAAGTTTTTTGTGTTACCCTTCACATTTAAATTATACACTGTTTTCATTAACTAGAGTGTCTAAGAATGGGAGTTTATGACCCTCCTGATTTTCTACAGTAAACTCCATATTGCTGTGTTTGCTGATCAGATATTGTAAACGAGTTTTTAAAAATAGTGAAAGTGTCATCTACATACACACAGTAAAAGGTTTAAGCTCTTGTGGGCAGTTTTACAACTATTTTTTTGTGGAAATACAAACCAAGTTGGTGAGAGATGGTGCCAACCCTGAACCCATGGCAACACCTTCAATCTAATCATATTACTTTTCCCTTCAAAACGAAATGAAACCCTTTAGTAACCAAACTTATTAGTTTAAAAAACTGATTTTGGATTGCCTACTTTGTTGGAACTAGTTTTGTAAATCAGATCAGCACTCACCTGTATGGTCTCTTTTAATGGTATATTAGTATATAATGATTCAATGTCAAAGCTGGCACAATGAACTTTACTGTCAAACTTCAGTTGTTGAATTTAATGAACGAACCCATAATTGTCTTTTAAGATGTATTCATTCGTGGTGAACTTCCTTCTTTAAAATGTCTACCAAAAAAACCTACTAAAGCATAATTGTGAGTTTCAGTATTGGATGCTACGGTCGTAAGGGGCATTCTGCTTTGTGAACTTTTGGTAACCCATAAAAGATGTTTGGATGACTCCCTGATTGTCTAATGTTCATATATTGTCCTTCGTTGAAAATGTTATCTTTCTTCTGTTGTATTAAATATCGTTGCAATTTAACCTCCCTTTCGTCAGTAGGATCGTATTTATTGCAATTTCACAAATTTAGCCGACTTACTTACAATTTCTTTTGCTTTTCTTAAATAATCACTTATATCTAGAATAAGAACACCATTCTCTTTATTTGACTTAGAAGATTTTTTGAAAGCTTCAAATTCTTCTGAACTTGTATTTAAGAAGTTTTTGTAATTACTATTATAATTATTAAAAGAGGTCAAAACTAAACCACTAGTTTCAATTCTAACGTTACTAAAGGATTGCCCTGATAGATCAAATCATAAAGAAAATGATCTTAATAAAGGTAGATTTATGATTATTCTCCCTTTTAAAGAAAGTGCACATATCTGTGAGTAATTCTATCTCATGAGTGTAATAATTCTTGGGGGCTTTTATTGTTACTCTAGTTTTTACCTTACAGATTGGTGAGCCAATTGAGCTACGACAATACAAAATCCTACATTTATATGATGATATATCAATAAAAGTTCCAAACCATAAAAAATAAGGAAAAACTGAAAATGTTTCAAGTACCATGAAGTTTATCAAATTTACTTGCGCTCAACTGACATTGAGCTGGATGCTACTAGGTACTTGACTGCCATTCTAGTTTAACTTGATGTAAACATTTCAACTTGTTTACTCACAGAACGCTTATTTTATTCCTGAGTCAAATTCAAAGACTCATAATTCCTGGAATGACCAAATCGACGAGATTTGTAGAAGAGGTTAAGCAATGAATTTTCGAAATAAATTATATTAGTTAAAGTAAGAGTATCAGGTATAATAATTCACACCTTCTCCATCGTACGTATGCTAGGATTACAGAATATTAGGCGATAAATGTGTCAAAGCTAATAAACAATACGAAGTTAATGGAATACAACTTCAGATGTTTTAAACCTAGCGCCATTGTTTACCAGATACAACCTTAGACAATTCAAATTTAACAAAACATTTTTACTGCGTACAGCTGTACATTGGTAAGATTTTACAATTGCATTTTTCTTCAAACAAATTAACAACAGCGCTGAATGTTTAAGAGCATCACTAAGACAGTCAATGTAACGCCAAGATTTCTGACGTTGCATGGTAAGATGAGGAAGTCCTACTATAGAAGTATTATTTGGATTTAGGTACGAAACTTTTGCTGGCCATTTCATGAATTCTAGTACCTTGGTGGGGTCAACGGGTAAGTTTCCGAACTTACAATCGTAAGATGTGGAATTCGATTTCCAGTTGTGATCAGAGCTCAGATAACCTATTGTGTAGCTTTGTGCTAAAATTACCACCACTATCAACAGCCTTTGACTTCTATAGATTGTTGCTAAATAAGTCCATCAAAATCTTAGTAGAAATGGTTTTAGTCATTATCCTGCATTAGGAGAAAATCTGGTTCGTTTACAACCGCAAATGATCGTAGAATTGAGCCCAATACCACGTCAATATGTCGTCAAGCACTAAATACGACCGACCATCTTCGGAAGTATAATAAGATCTAGACTCATTCATACTGATGCATTCTCCCTTCACCAAATGGATGATTGGTAGAGGCATAAAACCTCGACTGATCGGTAACGAGACGCGAATCATGAACCCCCGGATTCATAGTCCAGACGCCCTAATCACTTGGCCATGTTCGACCCAATTAAATATTGTTCACTCTCCTAGAGGTATTTTGTCCGTTCAAAAAGGTATAGAAACCCAAGGGATTTGCTTCCATTCCTAGCAAACTCAGTGAAAGTCCAACTAAATTTTGCAGTGCTGTGTAGTCAACTACAGAACTGAAGTAGGTTTTATGAATTTTGCCAGACATATAGAATATGTTTTTTATCAGTTGGTTACTGACTGTCTATATTAAGTCCATGGGAAGTGAACTGGTGATTCTTAGCGGTCCTGTTGTACAAATAATGGATATTATGTGGCACAGTTGACCTTCCATAACCTTGTCCAGACTGCCAAGCAATATAGTTGAGTTGCTATGATATCAACACGACATCCAGTTATGAGCCTGAATACATCAAAACATGGAAGATCATGACCAAGATGTTTTTAAAATCGAAGAGTGAATACCAAAATAGCAAATCAGTAAATAATTATACGCGAAGAAGAATTGAAGATACCGTCCTTCCAAGGTGAATATCACATGCAAAATGCGTCGAAATAACCATGCAAGCTTACAACTGAACACGTTAAACATATACTTAGCTAAAAACATATAATTTGCGTGGGTTTTGCTCCTATCAATTTTGTCCCTTGAATCTTTTGGTGTAATGTATGTTAATGTAATACTACGTCATCTTTGAACTTTGCTATAGGCAAGCTCGTAATAAATTTGGAGAAATAGTAACATAATGATAAATAATATATTAACAGTTTTGTAGAAAAGCTGCTATTAAGACTTTCGCACTGGTAAGCGTTTAAACCTTAAATATAGCAGTTAGAATTGGCTAGGTGCTTTAAAGAATAACGTGCACATTACGTTATATGTACTTAAATGTGATAAACTCACCTTAAATAACGGTGCAATATTTCAATAAGTAAGTTCAACTGTCCTCCAGATTTTTTCATCTTTTTTAGGACTCCATATGTCATGACCAAGCCTCTTAATAATAAAATACTAGACAAATTAACATCAAAACTTTATTCACTATAGCATTAAGGTTATATAATATTGTCGCTGCGATACAGCCAAAAAACGTTCTAGACCATGAAATATTTAAAGACACTTAACCACATTACTTTGCAAAATGTAAAATTAAACACGCACTTGTGAACAAATGTAACTACTTTAAACCAAACCATATCGCAAAAGAATAAAAAACAGATCCATACTAAAAAACATTAAATGCATCTAAACTTAATCACATTACACTAAATGCATCTAAACTTAATCACATTATACTAAATGCATCTAAACTTAATCACATTACACTAAATGCATCTACACTTATAATCACATTACACTAAATGCATCTAAACTTAATCACATCACACTAAATGCATCTAAACTTAATCACATTACACTAAATGCATCTAAACTTAATCACATTACACTAAATGCATCTAAACTTAATCACATTATACTAAATGCATCTAAACTTAATCACATTATACAAAATGCATCTAAACTTAATCACATTACACGAAATGCATCTAAACTTAATCACATTACACTAAGTGCATCTAAACTTAATCACATTACACTAAATGCATCTAAACTTAATCACATTACACTAAATGCATCTAAACTTAATCACATTATACTAAATGCAACCACATTACTTTGAAGAAAAAAAAACAGCTAGTAAATATTGAACGTAGCCACCTCCAGTCAAATTATCTTGAAATAAAACAGGTTAGAAATCACTAAATAGGGAATATTAAGTCTTACATTAATCTTGAAGCAAAACGCGCTGAAGAATACTAAATATGACTACATTTAAGTGAATCTCAGGTGGTAAGAAGCTATAAGGAAGCTCCCTGATAAGTGATTGGAAGCTTTTCTATTTAAACTATTGTCCCCCGGTGGGACAACGGTAAGTCTGCGGACTTACAGTGCTAAAATCCGGGGTTCGATTTCCCGTGATGGGCACAGCAAATAACACGATGTGCTTTTGCTCTAAAACAAACGGACAAAAAACTGAAACTATATCCTAAACCATTAACACAACATATGGAAAAATAAAACTCACTGAGGAATGAGTAGATATTTTGTATGAATTATTTTATTAAACAATACCCGAGATCATTACCAAACGACAAGATAAATACATTTATCAAAAAACATTTGGAAGTATTTGTATATGAACTAATATCAGGCTGGAGAAAAGGGACTCTAATAATCGGAACAAGAAATTGAGTACAAGAACACCACAAATTTAAATGATAATGGCAACGAGGATGAATTAATTGAAACTATCAGGCATTTTATGTTGGCATAGTGGTTTAGAAATCATTCAAGTTTCAGCTAGAAATGTTGGAACGTTTACATAGTGATCCATGTTAAATACTAACCCAAGGAAAAAGAACGTGTCCACTGCAAGCCAGGCGTTCAAAATAATCTGGAATGGCACGTTGTTCATAGAGAAGAAAGATTTGTAAATATCCCCTGTTGAAAAATATGTTAACTAAATCATCAGTGTTTCAATATTAGACCTAAGTGTGTTTAGCACCGACATGGAAATACTTAACTTATACAAATACCACTTTAATTACTGAGTAAAGGCGCTGAAGGTATTTTAAGTATAACTGAAAATTCTTATTAGGAATACTGAAGCTATTTTACATATAATTACCAGTCTTTAGAAAAGTTCAAAAAGTATTGTAAATACTACCGAAACTCCTTTTTGAATGTATGAAGCTATTTTAAATACAATTACCAAATTTTTGAAAAGTATATATGTTATTCTATATACCACAACAGACAATTAAGAAAAAGAGTAGAAGCCGTTTTAAGTATCACCGACAATCCTAAGCGAAGATACAGAAGATATATTAAATTCTACGGCAGATCTTATAGGAAAGCATAGATGGTATTCGAAATACCACATAAAGTCTTCAGTAAAAAGGCAGACGTTATTCGAAACACCACAGCCAACTTACAGTGAGTTAGTCAGGTTATTCCAAGTACAATCACTAGTCTTCATTTAAGATATAATAAATACTAGTACAATCTTTAGATAGAGAGTATGAAGATAAACTTGTACGTACGTGCGGAAAATAGTTCTACGAAATAATAAGTATGACCCAGGATGACCCACAACATGCTAAACATCTTCATTCCGTTCAGTGTTTCCATCTGCTGGTTAGCTCTTGTGTCCATCAGTTTGTTCCAATTTTTGACCAAAGAGAAACACAGCAAGGCTTTTGTAGCGAAACCTGTGATATATGAAGCATAAACAAATCCCCTTATTTATTTCTAGCCAGTATTATTATGTGAAAAAAAAACATCACCTGTTTATTTTTATCGTAAATACGACACAAACCATTTGAAGGCGTAGATAGACAGCAAGATAGATATAAATTACAAACCTCTTTTAGGCTGTTTTCCTGAATCTGTTATCCAACAAGATGAAATATCAACCGAAGTACCAGTAACCACCAGAATAACCACTACTGAGAGTAAAGAACTGAAATATTAAAAGTGAAAAAAATGTGTTAAACTCTTACGTCTGACTATTTTACAAGAATTATATATCTTATACAGTTCACTAATATCACTCTGTTCACTTAAAATAATATCATAACTTGGTATATGCTTTCAGCTTATGATGCAATGTCAATTCAAAAATCTGATATTTGAAAAGTTTTTCTGGTGTACAAAACTTGAAGACAGCTTTTATATGCGGAAACATCTGTTAGCTGAGTTCTTGCGCAGATCTTAAAATATAACGTTGATAAACGGAAACATCGGCACACGTAGATATGTAGATCTTGAAAGTCGAGTTGTTCAAAACGTGAAAATAGCGTTGATAACTGGACCAATTGTTGGTTGAGATGTTGCAAAGGAAATATCTGCTGAAGCTTTTCGCCAGACACTAATCATAGCAGAACCGTCTGGAAAATGATCTATAGGAAATAGTACAGCTTATAAAATGTGTCTGCGGACTTACAACGCTAGAATCCGGGTTTCGATACCTGTGGTGGGCAGAGCACAGATAGCCCATTGTGTAGCTTTGTGCTTAACTTAAAAACAAACAAACAAACTTATAAAATGAGTCAGATCAACGTAGGCCGGTAAGGCAATCACTGATTAGCATAGCCTTAAGCCAATCAGGAAATGTCATAGACCTACTGAAGGATGGGTAGATTGTATAGGAATTCTTTTTGGCGGCAAAGGACAGGCTTATGTGTTTTAAAAAAGGTGGCTTTCAAAATATAGAGATGAAAAGTTGACAGACCATTTGCAATAATTTTAAACCTGCTATCTGTGTAGTTGTCAGCACAAGTCGGGTTCACTAGTAAATGCTGGCCAATCGCTGATTCACATTTTGGTGGTAGAACTGTTGTTTTACAGGAGCGACATGGTAAATTCTTTTCTTTCACACTCTTATTTCTTATGGATGTGAGTATATGTTGTTTAATTCCATCCTGCAATCTTTGTGAAATGCGACCTACGTACTGACATTCGCAGTGGCACGAGAATTCATAAATAACCATACTTTTCTGTGTAGTAGGTATCCCATCTTTGTGTGTTGCAGGCAACAGCTTGCGTGTGGAATAAGCACAGTAGGGGTTCACTGCAGGAAAATATTTAGTAATGGCCGTTTTCAGTTGTTTTCAAATTTTGTTGAAATGTTACCAATCCATGGCAGTTTTAAGTAAACAGAACACTTGTTAG